TCCCACATTGCATCCTTCACTCCCTGTAGCTCTGGTCCCCTCTCTGAGATGTTTGGCTCTCCCTTAGGCCCTAGCCCTGCTTTCAGGCCAGTTGGAGTCCCGAGCCTCTTGCTCTGGGCATTCCTCGTGGTGGGCCCCTGGCCCTTTGACCCTGTCCCCCCTTTGGGTACTGGCCCCAGCATGGACCAGTTGAGGGTACTTCTGGTATCTTTTATTAGACCAACTGAACAGTTGAGAAATATATCTTAGCAAGCTTTTGGGTTTAAAAACTAGGGCTGTGCAAAATAGCTACGTTTCATTTTCGGTTCAGATTCGGCCGTTTCATAGTTTCATAGTTGGTAGGGTCGGAAAGGACCTGAGCAGATCATCAAGTCTGACCCCCTGCCATGGGCTGGAAAGAATGCTGGGGTCAAATGCCCCCAGTGAAGTGATTATCTAGCCTCCTTTTGAAGACCCCCAGGGTAGGAAGGAGCACCACTTCTCTTGGAAGTTGGTTCCAGATCCTAGCTGCCCTGACTGTGAAGTAGTGCCTCCTGATTAACTTACTTTCAGTCAACTTGTGGCCGTTATTCCTAGTTACTTCTGGTAGTGCTCAGGGGAACAGGGACTCTCCCACTGCCTGCTGGTTCACCCTGGTAAGTTTATAGACGGCCACCAGATCCCCACTCAGCCTTCTCTTGTGGAGGGCCTGTCGCCTCTCCTGCTGCCCCCAATCATGTGAATGGTCCTCCTCTGGACCCTCTCAATGCTGTCCACATCCCTCCTGAAGTGCAGTGCCCAGAACTGGACGCAGTACTCCAACTGTGGCCTGACCAATGTCGCATAGAGGGGAAGGATCACCTCCTTGGACCTGCTTGTGATGTATCTGTGGATGCATGACAAGGTTTAGTTAGCCTTACTGACTCACATTGGCAGCCCATGCTCATCTTGGAATCAATGATGACTCCAAGATCCCTTTCTGCCTCTGTGCTGACTAGCAGGGGGGTCCCCAGCCTGTAGGTATGCTGCTGGTTCTTCCTCCCTAGGTGCAATACCTTGCACTTATTGAATCCCATCCTATTCTCATCCACCCACCCCTGTAACCTGTCCAGATCTAGTTGTAGCCTGTCCCTCCATTCTATCATGCCCACCTCTTCCCACATCTTAGTGTCATCCACAAATTTGAACAAGGTGCTTTTCACCCCCTTGTCCAAGTGACTGATGAAGATGTTAAACTATGCAGGCCCAAGGATTCTTTACTCGGAAGACGACAGTTCATTTCGGCGCTTTGGATCACTGCTCTGTTTCTATTTGGCCGAATGTGTTTCAGAGTTTCAAGGCTGTTTCGGCTATTTGGATTGGCCAGGGAGAGGCAGGCACAGCCAGGTGGCTGCAGGTTCTCCCACAGCTCCTTCAGCTGTGCCTGCTTCTCCCTGGGCTGGGGGAGCTGCAGGAGAAGTCCCCATGGCTGCCCTGCCTGGCCACATCCCCCCCCGGGCCCTGCCTGGCCCCAGCCTCTTGGCACTTTTATTTATTTATTTATTTTAAAGCTCCGTACTCACCAGCTCTGGCAGCAGTGATCGGGCCTCTGAGGGCTTGTGGCAGAGCACCCCCCGTGCAGTGTGGGGCAGTGGGGGGCAACAGGGATTGTCCCCCCCCACCTGGCACTTGCTTGGCAGCTGCGCTATGGCACAGTTACAGTGTGACTCAGCACGGTGCTGCACACTGTCTGGGAGCTGGGATGGCTCCAGCGGTCACCTGGAGCCCGGCACTGCTCAGCCACAGAGACTCTAGCTTCCAGACAGCGCGCGACGCCCTGCTGAGCCATGCTGGACCTGAGCCACGGGGCAGCTGCCGTGCAGGTGCCTAGTGTGGGGGGGGGGGGGGGGGGCAAACCCCCGCTGCCCCACATTGCATGGGTGGGCTCTGCCACAAGCCCACAGAGGCCCTGATTGCTGCTGCTGCAGCCAGTGAGTGCAGGGCTTTTATTTTTTCTTCAAAGTGCTGGAAGGGGATGGAGTTGGGCAGGGCATCCATGGGGGCTTCTCCTGCAGCTCCTCTGGCTGTGCCTGCCTCTTTCTGGGTGGGGGGAGCCACAGGGAAGTCCCCATGGATGCCCTGCCTGGCCCCATCCCCCACCCGTCCCTGGCACTTTAAAAGGAGGGCTGTGGGGCTGTGCCAGACTATATCTGGGGGGCACCTCTGAAACATTTCTGAAATGTTTTGGATGGTTTCGTTTAGTTTTGGAAATGTTTCAGAATCTTCAGTTTGATTTTGGATTTGGTGTTTCGG